CCCTGGGGCCGGCCGTGCCGGCTCCTCGGCCGGCAGCGGCAGCCCGATATGTATCACGCAGCGGCTCGGCCCCGGCGCCGCACGGTTTAATGCTTTTTTACGCAGAGCAGCATCCTCGCAAAACCGGAGCCGTACGAGCGAGCGCCTCGACGGGGCTGAATCACTCCAAATGTAAAGTGGAAAAATTCCTTCGGAGGTGGAGTTTTGTTCCTGTTTTTACGCTCGGTTTGGCGGTGTTGGGGTGTTTTTTTTTTTTTCAGCAGCTGCGTACGGGTGGGTTTTGCCACGCCGGGCGTGATTCAGCTCTTGACTCGCCTTTTCCACGTGCCGGGGCTCACTTCGCAGCTGGTCTCTCCGTCGAGTTTCCCCCAGCTGGCATCGCGGCGAGCTCCAGCGAGCTCGCCTGGTTCGGCGACAACACCCGGACACGCCTGGCAGAGGCATGCAGCGGCGTGTGACGGCTGTCATTGCTGAGCGGTTGTTCAGGGACGTCTGACGGGCGCGAGGTCCTGATAAGCAGCCCGGGAACACCCTCGCCGGCTGGGGATTTACCTCTCTCCTGCCCTTATACGGCCATCTCCGCTCTCCTTGCCGCCGGGATGCCGAGGTCGCCACGCCGCCGGCCCCGGGGCAAGTCAGAGAGGCGACCTAGCGCGCGTGAAATGCCAAACCGTAAGGTCCCGGGGTAGGAAAGGTGACTTTTTCCGAGCCACCGGGCTGCCTGGCACGCGCTCGGTGCCGTGGGGCGGCTTCTCTGCGGTGAAGGTGAGCTCGCCCAGGCTGTCCCGATCTCTCCGCCGGGACGTGGGCTGCAAAAACGGCTTTAGCAAACAGAGCCGCCGCGTTTCCCCCGTGAAGGTGACCCCGCGTTCCTGTTTAAGGTCAATCCTGGCGTGTTTGTATTGCTGACGCCGCGAAGCCGACGTCCGGCTCGGGTGGGAAGCGGGCACGGATCCTGTGGCGTTCGGCTGTGTGGACACGGCACTGCGGCGGCCAGGGGGTGTTTCTTCTCCGAAAAACCTGCCCTAAAAGCAGATATTGGGGTGGAGCGAGCCCTGCTCCTCAAACCGCCGGCTTCGGGGGTCTCCGTGCCGGAGGGGCTCGGAGCCGCCTCCGGATTTGGTTCCCGGCCTGGTCTGGGTTTAACCGAAACCCGGCTTAGCACGATCGTTGCCGCCTGACCCCTTTGCAGCCGGCGGTGCTGCTCCCGAGCCGGGGAGGGGGCGAAACCGCTTCCCCCTGGTCCTGGTGGGATGAATGGCTCGTTAAAAGCTGTCACTGCAGCATTCCCCGGCCGTGAGCTCACCGCAGCCCAGGAGCCTGCCTCGAACAATGCTCCCCGTTCAACCGCCCGGCCGTGCCGCGGCGGCAAGGAGGCGGCGGGGGGGAACCCGGGCTACCCACCCCGAGC